GTATTTAAGTGGGTGAAAGGAATCAATAAAGGCGATATAGATAAAGTTCTTATAATATCCGAGCAGGATAGGACCCGTAGCAACGGATTTAAGTTGGACAAGTTTAGGTTAAGGAGGGAGATAGGAAGGAACTGGTTCACAAATAGGGTGGTGGACGAGTGGAACAAGCTTAGCAACTTTGTAGTAAGTGCTGGAACGCTGGAGAGTTTTAAAAGGAGGCTAGATAGATTCATGGATGATAGAGAGTGGTAGTAACTCTCGACAGGAGCTGCCATGCACAGGCCAACTGGCCTATTGTAGACTCCTTATTTTCTTATGTTCCTAATATGCTAACCTAGCTTAATATAATTCTAACCAAACCTAATTTAAGCCTAAGATAACCTAACCCAATTCATAAGTTACGAATCACAACTAACCTAATCTGATTCTAACAACCTAATTCTAACCTATCAACTTAATTCAAATTCTAACCTAAGCTAACCCTCCCAGATCGAGTTAGGATGTTAAATCATCATGTAATAACTGGGGAGCTAATCTACAGGACTACAGGTGATTCTACCCTGATACCAGCAATCCTTGAAAACAAGACCGTCTTACAGTCCTCACAACACACCGAGGCGTTGGTGTAGCAGTTAATGTGTTGTTAGAGGTTTCCACATGTTGAATTAATCTGTTTGAATGTAATTCTTTTCAGTAAACGTTGGGGATAGATTATCGTACGCAGGGGTTAGATTATAACATTCATGAGTTTCATTATCGTCACTTGTTAAGTTATTTGGTCCTTAGTGAGCCGTAGGTGTACTTGAAGGATTAGATTATCGTACTCAAGTGGTTGCAGTGTATAAAAGGCAGTTATTATGTTTAAGGGGTTAAGTCATGGGAATTGAGGAGTGCGATAATATGTATACAGTAATATACCTGCTCATACGACAACCCGGTTTCAAAATATGATGTAGTACCATCATCGTACATTATGGCAATAAGTCCCTGGATCACACTATTAAACAGAACCGTCATTATTAATCCACTCACTCAGCATTCCAATTGTCCTAACACATGGACCATTTAACCAATAGAGGCCATTTACTGCCTTGAAACAAAACTTTCCTCCGCTATCTTTAGTCTACTTGATCACTCACAGCTGCTCTGCCTGTTACAGTGTACCGTACATTTATTTCACTTGATGAAAAGTACCCGAATACTAACCCAGCCTAATCTAATGTAACCTAATCTAATCTAACTTAAGCTAACCTAACATAACCTAATTAAATCTAATCTAACCTAAGCAAACGTAACATAACCTAATCCCTCCAGGTAGCATTATGGTGTTTTCATTCATCAGGCAAAATAAAGCAGTTTCTGATTTTCACGTGATACATTTTTTTTAGGCGGTCCGACTAATTACCCAAATGTACCCAAATGTACCCAAATATAGCCGGAATGAAGTCAAATAATGGTCCTACATGAATAAATCGGACTGCTAATCACTTCTCGACTAGTATTTGGTGTCAGAAAGTCACAAAAAATTGGAAAACTTACTTTAATCTGAGTTAATACATCGCGTGCATGTACCGAGGGAGCGAGTAATTACCCAAATGTAGTCGCAATGAGTTCAAATGATGGTCGTACAAGCGTAATTCGGGCTGTGAATCACTTCTCGATTATTATTTGGTGTCATAAAGTAAAAAAAATTGGTAAACTTAATTTAATCTGAGTTGTGTTGGGTTAGGTTAGGTTAGATTAGGTTAGGTTAGGTTAGATTAGATTAGATTAGATTAGATTAGGTTAGGTACATGCACTTGATCTATTAACTCAGATTAAATTAAGTTTACCAATTTTTTGTGGCTTCGTGACACCAAATACTAGTCGAGGTTAGGTTAGGTTAGGTTAGGTTAGGTTAGATTAGATTAGGTTAGGTTAGGTTAGGTACAAGCACTCGATCTATTAACTCAGATTAAATTAAGTTTACCAATTTTTTGTGACTTTGTGACACCAAATACTAGTCGAGAAGTGATTGGCAGTCTGATTTATTCATGTAGGACCATTATTTGACTTCATTGCGGCTACATTTGGGTAATTCCTCGCTCCGTCGGTATATGCACGCGATCTATTAACTCAGATTAAAGTAAGTTTTCCAATTTTTTGTGACTTTCTGACACCAAATACTAGTCGGGAAGTGATTAGCAGTCCGATTTATTCATGTAGGACCATTATTTGACTTCATTCCGGCTATATTTGGGTACATTTGAGTACATTTGGGGAATTAGTCGGACCACATTTTAGGTCAGTTTAGATTAGGTAATGTAATGATACTGTATTATCTGAAGTCACTATTATCTTTGGGAAGGCTCAGATAGCTGCAGTATTGCAAGTTAAAGAAGTTAAAAGATTTGGGTCTAGTGATGGACTCGAATAATAACTTAAATCAAAGAAGAGAGGAATAGGAGGCGATGTATATGCAGCTAGTGAGTAAGTGTAGTAAACAAGCATCATCTGACGATTAACCACCGACCCATGCAATTGGAGGCGAACGCTGTATCCACTCGACCTAACCTAACGTAGTCAAACCACCCTAACCAAACCTAACACTTACCTATCCTAACCTAACCCCACCAGGCAGCGTTAGGGTAGTTTATCAGGTGAAATAAATAGGGGTGTCTAGTCTTCAGGTGGTCCACAAAGAAATGTACGGTGTTTAATGCTACGAAGTGTAGGTTAAGTATGGCAAAAATAGTTTAGGTTAGGTTAGGTTAGGTTGGTTCCGGGGTATTTTTGGTTTACAATCGGACAAGTTACGGTCGAGTACTTATTGACAGGTAAACATTCCCGACTTCATCGTCCTTCATTCTCTCTAGAGGTCGTAGGTTATCGTGTCAGTGTCTCGTAAACAGTGATAAAGTATTTTTTATTTATTTATTATTATTCAAAATTTACAGCTAATTGAAGGTTACCAAGTTTAAAGTACTGTCACACATCTGGGTCTATAACATACATAACATACTGGGGTAAACAATGTTGTGGATCTTTTGAAGATTAGACCTTCCCAGCTTATTTAATTTCAAGATTAACTCCTCCTTGCTTGTATCACCTAAACCTGTTGTGTGCAGTATCCATTCTGTGCTGAATAAAACCGTCTGGCGTTAACCAAATCAAAATATTTAAAGAGGCGTCCCCATAGTGGAGAGGTTAACATTAATTAGCTCCTCCCAGCTTATTTCACCTTAGAATTAGATTACCTCATCCCAGCTTATTTCACCTTAGAATTAGATTACCTCATCCCAGCTTTCTTCACCTTAGAATTAGATTACCTCATCCCAGCTTATTTCACCTTAGAATTAGATTACCTTGTAGGGATATCGAGATATTAATGTTGTCTAGCACTCAGGATGGAAGGAAACTCTAATGTGGTTTTCTTGTATAATATAAGTTATATGATAGACAGTCTGGTGCTGGAGGTGCAGAATGAGAGTTGGTTGGTGAGGAAGCTCAGAGAAGGACAGCTGGTGGGTCGCCATGCTCGCTGGCGGGAGCGAGGGCTGCCAGGCAGGCGAGGAGGAACGAAGGCAGCCAGGCAGCGGTGGAGGAGGAGGAGGTGTTGCTTGTTCAAGAAGAATGGTCAGAATGAATCTCAATGGAGAGACAGAGCTTATATACACCCAGCAGCAGCCGCCAGTCCTCTATGAGTCATGTTGGGAAAACCCGAGAAGTAGCCGGTGACTAGTTCCGTTGCTAAGATAAGGTAACATCTGGGGACAGCTCTCGCTTGGTTGCTAGGCAACGGCACGTTGGAATGTGATAGCAGGTGGTGGCTGCTACGCAGTTTGTAGGGGAGACGTCCACTACAACCTCATCCCAGCTTTCTTCACCTTAGAATTAGATTACCTCATCCCAGCTTTCTTCACCTTAGAATTAGATTACCTCATCCCAGCTTATTTCACCTTAGAATTAGATTACCTCATCCCAGCTTTCTTCACCTTAGATTAACCCCTCCCATCTTATTTCACTTTAAACATTTACCACCCAAACGCTAACCTAACCTAACCAAAACTAATCTAGCCTAAACTAGCCTATCTAACATAGTATAACCCAATCTAACCTTTCATAATCTAACCTAACCAATCAACCTAATCTAACATAACCTAATCTAACTAAACCTGACGTAATATTCTAACTAAACCTGACGTAATCTAACTAAACCTAACGTAATCTAACCAAACCTGACCTGACTTAGTGTAACCTAATCTAACTTAAATCTCTCAGCTAGAGTTAAGGTGTTTATTCATCAGCTAAACTTATGATGATCCAAATTATTTCATCCCTACCTGTAAACGTGAACACATTATGGCGTATTTTCCTCTTATATCAGTCGTTCCACCTTACATTACGAAAGTCGGGAATTGTAGAATTATAAAGCACTGTATATCCACTGCCTCAGACTTGGATTATATTGTAACTGAAATTGAAACGAAATTGGAAAATACTCTTGACATAAAAGAACACCGTCAACACAAGTCAGTAAAAAATGGTAATTGAGGGAAGGTCATGAAGTACAATACGCGAAGCTTCTGCGTCACACCACTCAGAATTTTCTGACTACGTAAAGATTTGACATTAAAACTTATTTCACCTGATGGTGTAAGGTTAAGTTAGTGTTAGGGTGATTAAAATTCGGGTGGAATAAGCTAGGATGTCTAATCTTTAAATGATCCCTAAATACGATAGACATGTACCAAAAATACACACGGTTACAAGTTATGGTTATAATGGAATCACTTGCTTATCTTAATTAGGATAGAATATCCATTTATTATTACAGTATTATCATCATGAATATTATCTGTCTATGTACTTTATATATAGGACTGAAAAAATGACCGGGAGCAGTTACAAAGGAGAGAGGGACTTTTATTTTACGAAGTGGGAAGAAGGAGGGAGGGAGTTAGGAAGAGAACGGGAAGTAGCAGGGAGGTGGCGAGAAGATTGCAGGAGGCGGGTCGCCTGCGGTCTGGCTCGACTCCGTTGCTGCTGCCGCTCCGTGGCGACTGCCGACACTCGTCTGGGGTCTGAGCAGTCTGGCAGTGTTATCTGAACAGTGGTGTTGAGCGGTTGTATATCAGGGAGGCGCCGAGTCTACCCTGCCATGTGACGTATGGACGCCCTGTGTTGTCTTCGTACTTACGCACTCAAACACACGGCTCAAATACCCCTTGTGTCTGCACATAGTTAAGAAGGCGCATGTGAAGTAGGAGGTAACACAGGGGATTTCATGTTAAAGGTATATTACCATAGTGAAGGGGAGCAGCCACAACTTGTGTAAATTGCCATGTCCTGTCCACCTAAGTTTTAGGTATAAACCTTCTTTGCTCAGGTAAAAGTTTATGGCAAAGCTGGTGAATGGTGTGTATCCGTATGTTATTTATTTCTTATATTGCACAAGCCAGTTAACAACTTAACATGAATATGCGCTTGTTATATACTGCGGAGCGAGATCGTCAGTGGGCACCAGGATAGGTTAGCTGCAGGCCCCAGCGACGACCAGTAACCTTAAAGGCTTAAAAGTACTGGATTAACCGTTACCACTGGCATTATGTCCTCCAAGGCTATGTTCCATGCAGTAATCTCCATAAAGTTCGTCACTGAGTTGTATGCAAGATTTTGCACATATCTCCGTGGTGTTGCAGGCAAAATTCTTCATTGGTCCATGCTGTGTTGCATGAAAGAATCTGCAGACATTACTTAAACTTATAACCCGGTCTCTGTGTTCTGTCGCATGCAAAATAACGCAGAAATTGATACGCACTCAAATTCTTGCAGATATTTAGGATACTCACTCGACATGTGCCGCTCTCTGTTGCATACAAGATTCTGCAGACACACATCTGTGCTATGTTTCATGCAAGACTTTGCAGGTATACCTCCATGCTGTGTTGCATGCAAGGTTGAGCCTGACCAACCCTGGGCCTGGAAACTCACTGGCGGATTATGACAGCTGGTGGCGTTCAGTGGCGTGGTAAATGTTGTTACTCGGCTCCACGACTTTGCATGTGGAATCTTCGTAACATTTCTCACAATTCTAGTATTGGTAATTGCTTTGCCCCCCAAAAAGAAAAGAAAAAATAATAATTGTTATCTACTAAGGAAGGAAACTGCATATTCTGAGATCCTCGATGCGTTGAAAAGCCAGCTTAAGATGGGTCCAGACCTAGTTAACAAACGCGAACACGCAAAGGAGAATGTTTGTTCGTGACATATGGACGTTCATGCGAGCGCAACCGAACGTTATCGAACCCATGCGAATGGTGTTTCACTGGTTGGTACTTCAATGGTGAGTCCGTTAGTGCTTGACAGATTTAGACGTCGTGTAGTTGTTCGTCTGTGCTCGTGCTGTTGACATCGACTACTATGGAATGACTAAATGATAGTTTGTTAATATCTACGTTCTGGCATTATTCTACACAATGACAAATTTCTACCTTTACTAATGTTTTCATTGCTCGGAACATGAACGAATGTAAGTAACGAACGTCTGCGAGCACCTCAACGAACGGACGTTTAATAATTACAAATGTTCGTTCACTAGCGCTTGTTCACACCTGTTGGCACTGTACCTACTGTACCTTTAGAGCTAACCAACGAAGGTGACACTGTAAAAAATATATATATAAGTTTTACTGTCATAGCTGGATGATCGCCATAATCGACTTTTTGGGTCTTTGAAGGAGAGAATTCGTTGAAAATTATTAACTTGCTTAAGTATTAACTTTTTCCAGTGGTTATCAGTTGCTTGGAAATATATGCCATTTGGAGACTTTTATTTTGGGAATTATTAAAAAAACCAACGCACGATGCAAAAATTCTAGTTATGCAAGACGATATCTTGATGATTTTTATTTTATTTTTTTGAGGGGGGGGGGGACAACACAATTTATCATCCAAATTTATTAAAAGCCATTCAGGACGTTTGTTTATTATATTTATTGTTTACCCACGCCCAAATAAAGAAAATATGTAGCTTATTTGTCTTGCGGATATTATGGGTATGTAGCTATTAGTATTCCAACAGTGGATTTATGTAAATGTTTTGTTAGTGCGTGTGTGTGTGTGTGTGTAGCAGGAGCTGAGCATTGCGTTTTACATTTTATAAACTGAGAGCATAAATGTTATTTTTCCGCCTCAGATAAATTAAAGCAGTATGAGGGAGTCTGGTGACCAAAATACAGCATAGTTCATGTTTATTGAGCTTCTGGAAAATTAAAACAGTAGAGATAATTTTTTTTTATTGGATGGCAGTTACATAAAAGTATGAATATATTCACCAGGTTTCAGGCTTTGGTCTAACTACAGTTTATATGTGTTGTGACGGGTGTACCGGTACGATTACAAAATAAATCTCATATGTTGTAATTTTCCATATTTTAATAAACTTATTTTGATTATATCGAAGTGATTCGTATAGCTTTCATTTATGACTATCTCGAACAAATTTCAGTGTTTTTCATTTTTTCTGATACTTTCGCTCGTTGTCCTGGCCTGTTAATCGTGAAAGGAGAATGCTGTGCTATACAGTGTTGCGTCAGAAATAGCCAGCAGACATACAACAGTGATCACCTTTCGTTGTTTATTTAGGCTTAGTAGAAATCTGGTGATATTGTGCCCCCGAGAAAGTTATTGAAACAATGAATAGGTAATTTGATTTAGGTTTAATTATTACCCATAACCATCACATCAGAATTTATATTAAACACGCAACTCTGAAATTTATTCGTTTCGATTTTGTGATACAAATAAACTTTTTTTGAGCTTGACATTTGGACCGGGGTTGTAAATTTCCGACTCGGAAAAACCACCCAGTGTGAAACTGAAAGCGTATTTGCTCAGAACCCTTCATTGTTCTTCCCTACAGTATTATCGGCTTACCACGAGGCACAACCCCTCCAGCGTTCTCAGTTTACGAGACAATAAAACTCTGAGTACAGTACTTATTTTGTACTCTGAGCAGTGCCGGATTAACCATGAGGCACTTGAGGCACTGGCCTCAGGCCCCCCGACTCTAAGGGGCCCCAAATCCAAACATTCTCGAAGTTGAAGCGTATAAAACATGAACTTCGTTCAACGATGTCCGAGCAACGTCTCAATTTTCTGTCTCTTATGAACATTAAATGTGTTATTTTGCAGAAGCTTAATATTGATGAAATCATTGATAAATTTAGGTATATTTTGTTCTTGTTATTTATATATATCTTGAGGGTAGGGGGCCCCAAGTTGATCTGTGCCTCAGGCCCCTATTAAGCTTAATCCGCTCAGTCTCTTGAGTTTTTTTTTCTTTTTCTTTTTTACGGGAATTAGTCCACCTGGGCACAGGTCACTGACCCACATCGGGGCCCAGGGGGCGAAAATGTAATAATAATAATAATAATAATAATAATAATAATAATAATAATAATAATAATAATAATAATAATAATAAAGAACCATACAGAAACACACAAAAAAAGAAAAATCAAGAGTGAGAAACAATACAGTATATGTATGTTGTGTTGTCAAAGTAAGAGAAACAATTGAGACCCTGCAATTGTGAGTAAATGAGGCAGAAAGTCAGATCAGCAACCTGGGACTTGGTCACAATTTTCGTGATGCCATATGGCAACAGGGTCTACCATTAGACAATACATTATGCTTCCAATATCTTCCCAGGCGGTAGTACCTCCCTGCTTGGTAGCTGCCTACTACCTACTACCTAGTACAGTTATATCGCAAAGTTTTTGCAAACGTGCTTCTCGAAAGCATGCGAAAAACAACAAATGTCAATAAATGAAAATAATGAGGAAGAAACGTATATGACTGGATCTGAGTAAGAGACTAAGAAGCTGTGATAACATTGATAATTTGTTAAATGGTAAGGACACTGTTCTACCCCTCGTTTAGGCAATTACTTGTGAGACTGGACAAACCAGGGAAATTCTCATTTTACCTTGGGGTGTGAGGTGGGGTCAAGCACCGTGATGGCCACGGAAGTAAAAGAATTAACCATAAAAATTATCCCAATAAAAAATTTCAGTATGATTCTTGCTACATGGGGTAAAAACAGACTTATCCTACTCTGCGCATTAAGCACAACAAGGAGAAAATGGTAATATGAGGGTAAACTTGGAGCGGAGGTCGGCTAGTGTCCCATGTTTCAAGGATATTGAGCCTCGGACTCTTATTACATACTGTTATTTCCTCCAGGTTAGTGCCTTAAAATTCAGTTAGTTGGGTTTGGTAAATCTGGTTTGAGCTGCAGATAATAGCCTATAGTTTTTTTCTGCACAAAACATCTTTGAGCGTTAGTCTTTTTCTGATGTTAGAACTGTCAGGTGTCAGCCAAAGTTGAAGAACCGTAACTTGTACAATAGGACCTTGTATAGGTTGAGCAAGGTTGGCTAGGTATAATTTTCTTGACAGGGAAGTTTTAGCCTCATATCTTTTCACTAAACATTGTCGGCAGAGCAACACGCGAAGCACCCGAGCTCAAATTCTTTTTATGTATTTGTTCCTTATTTCCATATTGCTATGCTTCATGCGTTGTAGTCACGTAAGTGACGTTGTAAATTGTAAATCGATATGGGTTTATATAGAAAATCGCGGTGGCATGAATTCGAAGCAATATTCGCGTTGAGTGTTTTGGCAGCGGAACAAAACACCAATTCTTTCTCTTTTCCTGTCTCCACGGGTTACACTGTGGGGAAGATGGATTGCGCCAGCGGGTAAATGTATTTCATAATTTAGGAATCCCAGGGAAGGTTATAGAGGTCCAGAACCATAGGAAACACAAGTTTACCATTTGGAGTAAAGAAGTTTTTATTTATTATTTTTTGGGGGTAGAGAGGGGGGGGGGCACCATTTTATATATATATATATATATATATATATATATATATATATATATATATATATATATATATATATATATATATATATATATATATATGTGTGTGTGTGTGTGTGTGTGTGTGTGTGTGTGTGTGTTAGTGAGCTCAGTTGACGACTTTACAACATTTCCATATCCTTGAGGAATGATTATTTGTCCTTCTGAATCAACAGGGAAAGTTCCATTCCCAATCTGTAGTAGAAGGTTTGCAAACCGTCCAGCATCCTGATCTCCTTG